AGGAAAACAATTTAAATTATTCTCTTTCAAAGACTCTTCACTTAGGGTATAGAGTAAACATTAATTTAAATGACCTGTCTACTCCTCAAAAAGAAAATGAAAGTTTAACTCAAGCCAATTAAATATTTATATGTTAAAGATTCAGCTTCTAAGTATTTACATTACAGTGGTTCTCCAAAGGTAGAGACAACCCTGTGATGACAGCAAAGCACTGCTGGCACCCCACAGTGGGCAGCAATTCACTCACCACAGTGGCCTGTACCTAATGGAAATCATGGTATCTCCCAAGACCACTTAATTTCTCATTCAAGTCTCCTTCTTATTCCTATACAGCAGCCTATAAGGATCCCAGATGGGGAAAAATATCACTCAAAATAACAGGACTTCAACCACTTCAGGACATTTTTAGGCTAATGCATATAGTCATTTATTTTTTTTTTTTCTATCCAGTTTTTAATCTAATACTGAAAAAATGTTCTCCTATAAAAAAGTACCACATTTATTTCTATGCTACAATATTAAATTAGAAGATATTTATAACATATAGATATCCTCACTATGCCAGAGAGAAAACTATAACATTTATCTCAATACAATAAATTCTGTAAAAACAAATAAGATACAACACAAGGTAAGAAAGCACATTTAAGATGACAGCTTATGCACAAGTCAGCTGCTCTTTACACAGCCAGGGATGTGACTGTCTCAGCTCTCTGCACTAGTAAAGAGCACAACATTAGGATTAGATTTATGACTGCTAACACAGAGTCCTGACTGTACCAATGACACTAAGGTTGAATGTTCCTTCTTTGAAATGGGAAGCACGGGTTACAAGCTGGCTGGAGAACAGACTCAGAGGTTTCCTTTCAAACCATTATATCATCACACGAAAAGACAGTGTTTAAATGAAATCAGGGCTACACTGAACACAAGAGTGTAAGAGAAAGCTCACAACCATTGCAATACAATGAAAACTGAAGATCTGATGTGCATATGGCAGCTAAATGCCTGCATTTATGCTTTTGAAACCCCTTCTGAAGGCAATTGGGATTTTTTTCTTTGATAGATGAAAAAAATCTCTTTCGATATGAAAGGGTATCTGGATACTTTCTGAATAAAATGAAAAATACTAGAAATCCTGATATGCTTTATATTTAAGAGTCTGAAATACCTACCAGGTATTTTGTTTTGGTTTTTTTAACACATAGTTAAAATCTTACAGATAAGACAGAGGTTGCATCTCTTTAATTTGAATCTGCAGTAATAGTTACTTCAGAGGATTATAAAACAGAAATATATTTTCTATGCTGATATATAATTAATATCTATTAAAAGGTTAATCAACCAATATTACAATAGCAATATTACAATAGTAATATTATTACAGCCATAATGGTCTAAGGCAAAACTGGTGGATTACCTCAGTCACATCAACATGAAAAAGTCAGACGTGTGAAAGCAAGTCCTTTCCTGAGACCGCTTCAATTCACCTAATAGAGCTCTTCTCCTGCTGTACACTTACACTAGTAAAGCATTTTCAGATATCTGCTCTACATGCACCTAAATAAGAAGTGTTCCATGCTCCTCTGTAGGCTATTGAAGGCTTTGAACTGACAATCGAACTGAGAAAATTTTTCTTAAGTGACTTCTATAGAAATGACCTGTGCTATCTATTCTCTACAATTTTGTTAAAATACATACATTTCAACACTTGGCTGAGAAGACAGCAGTTTACATCCATTTCAATATCTAAGTGAATAACAGCATTGTACATTAACAGATCATTGAACAGAAAAAAAAACCCAACAACCACTAAAACCATTTGAAACTGAAAATTACAAAAAAAAAAAACACACCAGGAAGTTGCAAAGTTTTCTCTTTGCATAAAGTTTAACATCAACATTAAAATAAACCAAACTGAAACAAACAAAAAAAACCAAACCAAAACAAAAAAAACCCCCAAACCAACAGAAGACTCAAGGCAAGAAGAGTTCAGACTGTGAACAATACAATGTGCTGATATACCCCAGTGACTTAATTCTAAACTTAACTAAATTTAATGAAGTTTTAAACTGCTTCCATGAAACATCAGAAGCATCATAAATCAAGTGTGGCTACTACTTCCATCTTACACAGTAGACTGCAGTCTGTAGCTTCTAGGGGAACAAAAGCAGGAAAAAATCCAAAACCAAATCCCAGCCTTAGATTAGAAACTGCCAGATGAAAAACAATTGAATACCAACTAAAAACAATCTCTTGCAGCCACTCAAACATTATCTTGAAAAGAAAGAAAAAACAGAAAAATTAAATGACCTCGTACATGGTGTCTTCCAAAGATGCTTCTGCAGAGACCTTTGTTACATGCTGCTGTCTGCTCAAATATCAGATTGCTCAACTGCACAGGAGGCAATGAAAATAGAGAAATGCCTTCCTGATGTTACCTTGCACAAAAGTAAGTGTTGCAACTGACATCTAATGCTGCCAGAGATGTCAAGTGATCACAAAGAACAAGAGTCATGACCCAGGATAGATGGCAAGATGGTAACACAGCACTATCCAGCACTTTAAAGCTGTTAAAAGCCTTGTGCTCTACGACAGGGTGCTATATTTAACAGACTATCGTGAGGCACCCGATTATCAGAAGACAAATAGGACTATTTATTAGCAACAATTTGAAGCATCACAAAGGAGGAGCTTGGATTTCACTGTTTCTTTAGTTAACAAGGCTGCAAAAGCTAAAGCCACATACACGAGATTTGTGGCACAATAAATTCCCACTTTCCTCAATCGTAACTCTCCAGCAGTTTCTCTAGTTTGAAGAAATGGCCTAGCTTTCTTTCCCAGGATGCCACTGACAACAAAATGATGACAGTGCAACACACAAGACACGGTATTACACTTCACTGGGCCGTCCCAGGTATAGAGATTTTTCCCTAAACCACTACATCCTGTCACTAGTAGTTATTTATTGCTGCATCTTCCCATTGTGTAAGATGCTCTGAGGAGAAAAAAGCATAACATACAGATGTTACCAAAACATGACTAAACAAACTCATTTACATTAAGGCTTCACATCATTTTGCATCCCAAGACCTAGCTTCTTCAGCTGCTCTTAAATTCACCAAGCTTAATGCAATACTCTTATGCTGCATGCCTGCCTCAAGCAGAATAAGGTATCGTTTTAAACCAGTTTTGTGCCTAGTGCTTTTTGAAAAAGTGAAGACTCCTTTTTTGGAATCACTCCAGTTGCCTTCATATTTTGAAGACAAGCTATTTTATTTTTAAAATATGTTTTGCTATTTAGGAATAAGTCCTTATTGACATACGAATCCATCTAATTACGCCCACGTTGTGTGGGTTTGGAAGAAAAAAAGGCCAAAAAAAGTCACCGATACCTACTGAGGAGACTGCATATATGAAAAGATGATTTTTTTTTTTCTAATAGACCATCTTCCATCACCTGAGATCAGACTAGACTAGATGAATCATTCCCATAAAGAAACTGAACATTCCCTAAGTAATCTAAACCACACATTTTAACCAGCAAACTTGCTGCTAGCATGCAAACAACATGGAGATGGAAAGCATACAGTGAATGAAAGGTTCCAGCCAAGGGGGAGAAGGTTCAAGACAGACAAAAGAATTGTATAAAGAATAAGGGAGGAAAGAGCCAAAGAACAGCTGAGCAAAGAAATTCAGAGCTTGGCTCATCTCAGCAGCCTTAGTATCTCCCAAAGCTGAGTAAAGCCTGGATTCTTGGGAGTCTGTATTCCTCTCATATAGATGAACTCACTGGCAAAACATCCATCTCCTCCAGTGCTACTTCAATTCTTAATGCCAGTATCATTATTACATCGGTTTAAAACGTGAAGGTCTATACAAATGTTTCAGTTCAACAGATCACCCACACAAGGAGCAATAAGAACTGATGCCATGCTGTTCTGTTTGCACTAGTTTTATTTTTAACTACATATGGAGCATTAAGGTTGCAAACTCATACAAAAATTAGGAAAAGCTACAATTAAGACTGCTTTGTGCAATTGTGTGAACATGGTCTGTACTTAACATCTCACATTTTACGCTCTTGAGATGGGCATTCTCTAGAAATGAACTGGGAAGAACAAGAGAAGGATTGTTATACCCTTAATCTCCTACTGGCTTGGAGACTTAAAGAAACTGAGATACAAATGAGACTGCAAAAAGGCAAAACAAAACCAGGAGATAAGGCCACCAAAAGCTACTCTTGCCACTGACACTGAGCTCCAATATGACAGTAGACCAGCCCTTTCCTCTACCTTTACAGCTATTTTTCGTATGTTTCTTATTTTATCTATTTAGATAATCTGCAATCCAATTTGTGTATATATTCAGCATACCCAGCGACAATTAGGACATGTGCTTTAAATACATGAATTGCTTTACACTATAAAATGCAAATGGAGACAGGACAGCATTTTAATAACATTTCTTCCAGGTGAAGGAAATCCATTACTAACGGAATAGTTAGATGTTATGGCAATAACTGGCAAAGGCAGACTCTGGAGCAACTTAATAAATCTGCTCTTAGGGAAGGCTTTTGCTAATAAAGTTTAAATGAAACTGGAACTGATCAGAATACAGAAAGCATAAAGCTAAATACTAGAAAACAGTGAATTAAATGAATACAGTACATCTTAATGAGCTACAAAGAATTATGTGAATGTATGCATTCACATAGTTAAAATATATCGCTACAGTAACTGCTTGAACTGAGCCATGAACACTGTGCAATTCATACCTCAGACCAAAAAAAGGCCAACCTGAACAGCAAATCATAAGATGAGGCTGTAAATAGCCTGTGAAGTGCAGTTAAATTCTTACAGCAGCTAGCCAAGTCTATGCAACTTCTAAGAAAAAAAATGTGCTAAAAAGATGTTACAGAAACGTTTTTAAGTACTCGACTTCCAAACAAAAGAGGATGAAACCACACAAACAACCCTCCCACTCCCCCCAGTATTTACCTTACTGCAGTAAAGCATCCAAAGCTCATACAGCCTCTCTCGGGATGCCATTCCTTCCCCTCCTCTTTCCGTCGATACCAGCTACTTTAGTTCAAGATCCTACCATGCTCAGTTCCCAGGTGCTCTTTCCACAGTTTTGCTTTATTATTACAGTTATATCATAACCCGAGAAGAAGTCATGGGTGAAAACACCAGAGTCTCAGTCTCTCCTTTTCGAGTAGATAACGAAGCACAACACAGGCAACTGCAGATAAATGCCAAGCATGTCCGTTCTTCGCCAGCGCCACTTCGGTTTTAATCTCTGAAAGTGAAAACATACCCTTCAGGCCTTTGGTGGAGAGAGGAAAAAACAAATCCGCACTCAAAGCCCGCAGATAGAGGTGGGAATGGGGCGGCGGCAGGTCACAGCGCTTTCCTCTCGGGCACTATCACCCCAGGACAGAGAGCTCCGGCTTTCGCTGTTCCTGGCGCTTTCTCGTCTTTGCGGAGAGGCAGCGGGGGGAACCGCAGGGCTGCCGAGCGGGGCCGCGGGCAGAGGCAGTGGGTACGGCCGCTCCCGGCCCCGGCCCGGCAGTGACAGCGCCGCCGCCGCCCTTCTGCCGCCGCCCCCGGGCTCCGCGGCCGCCCCGCACCCCGGCGGGCCCCGCAGAGCAGCAGCTGCCCCGGCACAGCCGCCGGCCCCGGCCCTTCCCGGCCCCCGCGCTGCCCTGTCGCCCGCTCCCGGCCGGGACCGACCGCCCCGCGCCGCCACCTACCGCGCCCCTCGGCCTCCCGCAGCTACCCCCGCGGTACCGCGGCCTCTCCCGCAGCCTCCCCGGGCCGCGGCGGGTGGCGGCCGGGCAGGAGGGGCCGAGCCTCGCCACATCGCCCGCCCCGCCCCGCCCGCGCTCCCGAACACGCCCCGGGCCGCCGCCGAGGGGCGGGGAGGCCGCGAGCGCCATCTTGGCTGCGGGCGGGGCAGCGCCCGGCCGGGGCGGGGAGCGGAGCTCTACGGGCCAGGGATAGCTTCAGCCGCGGCCCCTGCCAGGCGCGGTGCCCCTCTGCCACACCGCCAGTGTGCCCGTAAAAGAATCGGCATTCGCAGTCCTTGCGGGACAGAGCACCTCAGGAAAGGCTCCGTAATGCTTTGCTTCACAAGGGGGGGACTTCATTAATGTGTATAAATATCTTAAGGGGCGGGGCCAAGAGGACGGAGCCAGGCTCTGCTCGGTGGTGCCAAGCGCAGGAGGCAATAGGCACAAACTGATGCACAGGAAGTTCCACCTGAGGAAGAACTTCTTTACTGTGTGAGTGACCGAGCACTGGAACAGGTTGCCCAGAGACGCTGTGGGGTCTCCCTCGCTGGAGATAATCAAGAACCGCCTGAATGCAATCCTGTGCCATGGACAACCCTGCTTGAGCAGGGAGTGGGACCAGATCCCCCACTGCGATCCCTTCCAACCTGACCCATTCTGTGATTCTAATGAAGGTTACCAAGCCCATACAGGTGTTTTACACGTACTCCAGAGCAGCCCGCCAGCATAGCCTCCAGGGCGTGGATATATCCATGCATCCAATCTGCTACTGCTGTAAAGCAGCCCCCTACCTCGTATGCAGAGCTTGCACAGGACTAAGGAAAGATTTTTAAAATAAGTTAGATTTCCAGAGGAGAAATGTGAAAAGACATTCATCAGCTTACCATCAGCTTATTCATCAGGTGTGGCCCTGCCCAAGCACACTGGCACACACTAACCCTGCTGAGGTACTGCACTCCAGAGAAGGACTCTCCTTCTGCTCGTTCAATAACAAGATCATTTTAGTGTGACATGCAGAGGAGTGGGCTTCCCTCCATGTCTATCTGTGCCCTTAGAAAGCGAGGCTAGAAATTACTATTGTGTCAGACTCCAAAGCAGGGAGGAGGAGATTTAATGAGAGCTGGGTCATCTCCCTAGTTTGCTGGGAGAATCACAGTCCTGCAACCTCTGGCCACAACCCTGGTCTTTCTGTCACTGGGTCGTCTCCTCACCTGGGTGAGTCTCGTATAGTTCCATGTGATAAAGCATTCATTGCCATTCATTGCACAGTTGATTACTTTGCAGGGGACTTTTACAGCACTGCAATGATTTCATGCAAGGTTTGGAAATCCTTTGCAAAGGAATTATCTGTGCAACATGATTATATTGTCTGCTGCAAAAATTTTCTAGGGATGGATAAGTATCACCAATAACCCAGAGACAGTCTGAGATATGGTCCTGCAATAGGCCTTTGCATATTTGTCTTGTTTTTAAAAAATCAATGAAGTTTCCCTAGAAAAATTTAAGAGCTAATCTGTGCTCAATGTTATATCACATGGATCAGCAGTGTGGGAGTGGGAGAAATATCTTTTACTGCAATAATCTAAACATAGTTCCTAGCACAGTTGGAGGGACACTGACAAAAATGAGACAGTAAAATTATTTTTAGTTGTGTGATACATGTGCTCTGGTACTTGCTGCTAGCCACAATATTCTCCTGCCTTAAGGCTGTAACATAATTTTTTCCATCAAGAAAAAAATAAGAGTTCAAAGTCTAGCTCTGTCCCCAGGGCAGGATCTGCTATGCTTAAACCACCCTAGACTCCTCTGGTGAACAGCATCCAGGAAAAAGAGAACGCTGCCTCCTCCCCGACGATCTTATCTCGGGGCTTGAGTTACTGCTGGGAGTTCCTCCCTAAGAGCCAACCTGCATCACCTTGGAAGCAAATGCAAACTGTTATTATTTTGCCCCTTCCACAGTAATGTGGCAAAAAGAAGCTTTTTGTAGCATGTCTTTTATCAAATCTTTTTACAGCCTTTTCTAGACTAAATAACAGCCTATTTCAAACTTCTCTTACAACTTACTCCCTTCGAAGAAGTCAGGCCCAAGCAAACCCACGTACAAACACCGATCCTCCCTTCAGATATTGCTCTGCTTTTTTGCATTGCTGATTATTGCAAGTGAGAGCAGCTGCTCCTACACACATAAGTCCTGCAACAGGCTTCAATGAAGCAACACAAAAACATCCATTGATAGAAATGGGAGACTCCTCCCTTGTGAAATGCTGCTGCCCCCGTAATTAGGGTGCTCCCAGCCTATAAAGCAGCCATTTTTCTCTCTGCTGGAGTTGTAGTGAATTTTAGTGAGCCTAGGCAATCACTGCTGCCTGTGTTATTGCCTTATATAGGTGCTCTAGATGGAAAGTAAAGCATTTGTGTTTTGCAGCAGGACAGTCTGTTCCACAGGTGTCATACAGAGTGGGTGGTCTCCTGGTCTGACCTTCTAGAGTTTTTCCCAAGCCAGATAGTTCACTGTAAGGTTGTTAAGGTGGCTTTGGATGTCTGCATCGCTGGGTGTAGGTCAAGTTTAGACTCTCCCTGTCTGTACAAACAGACATTCAGTATTCACTATGAGTTCTTTCCTCACACAGAAATATGAGCAATAATGAAAGACGTCAGTGGAAAAAGATGGGTTACAGCTTTGTCTCTGCAGGGGTAGTGTAATTGTAGGTGAGTTTTTATTTCTGTATACTTACCTTCATGGAGACTTGGCTAAGGATATGGAAATCAAAGAATGGAGGAAGATGTAAAGAGAAGCATTGCCAGCTAGGTATGGGTACTTTAAAATGTGACCGTATATGGATAGGTTCGGCTGGGAAACTTAATTGTTAGACTTTTCATCAACTTCTCTTCCATAATTATGTACTAATTGTTTCATGGGCCTTAAACTGTCAGGTAGACAGTGTTCATTTGTATTTCCTTGTTCCTTAGCTGCTGTCTTGTGGTCTGTTTACAACAGTGGTTATTTCTCATTCTTTGTTTATTATTAGTGGGTTTTTAATTTCTCTCATCAGTAGCTGTGTATTAGTAACTCAGTCATCTTAATAGGGACTGAACTTACCAGTCAGCAAGTTCTGGTAACAGAATGGGTGTAAAGAAGGGTGTGAATAAGGAGAAAGCATGAATTTTGGGTTAAGGAAAGGTTTAACAGAAGAATGGACTGCATTGGATTGCAACTTTGAGTCCAGGAACCTCTGAAGTGGCAGGAAAAACCACATACCTTTTAGTACTGCTTTTATTAAGCTATACTTATTTTCTGTAGAAGCAACCAAAAAAGACAAAAAAAAAATATCTGTATTTGACTTTTAAGTATTCTCAAGCCTTTTGTTTGGCCCTAAGGCTTCTACTGAGACCATGCCCCAGACCAACATAAATGATCCTGAGGTAAGGCGAAGCTTTCAGCTGAGATTTTTCTTGATGTCTTAGAGCTAATGCTTTGTCTACCAACAGTGAAGACCCAAAATAGAAATGGACTTGGAAATTAGCTTAGAAATGAACCTACCCCTCAATTTCTTCCATTATTTACAAACAGACCCTTGCACAGAAGCAAGGATTAATCTTTACAACCTAAGTAAACAAATGGTCTTGTGGCTGTGTGTAAAGCTTCCACTATCAAAATACCTTGTGCTGTATATAAGGAATTAGAGTTTTGTGGATGCTAGTTTCTAGACATTCAAGCCAGATTAACTTGAGACTGGATTTGGCTATTGGAAAGGGGCAAGCTGGCCCTTGCAAGATGCCAGGGTCTCTGTGGTGGTGTTTTGCTGAGGGTAGCACAGAATCAGCTGCCTTGAGTTTCTCTGGCTATGATTGCCAGATGAGTGTGCAATTCTGTTAGCTAAATCAGCAAACTCAGTGTTTAATTTTCCTTCTGTCACTATATTCATATTGTACCTCAGGTAGTTCAGGGCTTGTTAATTGTTTGTAAAATTTGAAAATGGAAAGGAATTTGTTTGCCCCTTGACATATAAGCTGATATCTAGGGATTGTAGTTGCTTTCTTTCAAAAGTGTTGGAGACTGGCCACAGCTAAAGCTGGGAGGTGATGGTTTGGCTAATAGCATTAAGTCCCTCTGGCCCCTGGCTGCCCTGCTTTCATATATGTAGGGTTAAACCATTCTCCAGACTTAAATTCATGAAGGAATTAACCCCAGGGTAGCCTGGGACTGTGGTGAGTGCTTTTGTCCTTCTCTGTCCTTTCAGCTTGTTTCCACAGGGGGCCTTCAATATAATGACTCCTGTTGTAAAAGGCCCAGGCAGTGACTTGATCTCTTCTGCTCCCTTTTTTGTAGCATGGGCTCCTTTATCACAAGCCTTAAGTTTGCAGCTGTGCTGGGAATGTTCTTGTGTAGGGTACCTCTTAAAGACTCTTTCGTGCTAAATATATAGAATGTGTTTATATGCTTTGATCTGCTAGGTTCTTAAAAGCTCTAACAGCCAGCAAAAATTCATGGGTAGCAGTTCAGTCTTGGAACTGCCCCCTCCTCTGCTGTCATTTAGGTTAGCTAATGCAAGAGCTAGAATGTGTAGACTTATGCTATAGATGTCTTTCGTTGGAAGGTGCCTGAAGACACTGGTTTTTACTGCTTAAGATTGCATCATAAAAGTGTTCTCCTTCCTTCTGAAGGAGAACTTCCTTCTGAAAAAAAAGTAATCCATCCTTTACAGTCTTACTGCCAGTGATGAGTGAAATTACCATACTTGCACTTCAAATCATTCTGCGTTAGTTAAGAAGTTGTTTAATGAATTATTTCATTATGTTGCAGTGCTCAGCAATCTGGACCTGCAGCATGATTCCTGAAAGCAATCCCTGTGTCAGGAAAAAAAAAACCAAACCTACAAAACATCATGGCAGCAACCAAGGATGTGTAGGGGTTAGCATTCTCTGGTGATCTGTCTGAACTTAATTTCTTCTCAGCTGACAAGGTAAGGTTGTCCCAAGAATGCCTGCTGTAGCAACTTGGGGCCTGACTTCTCTTGGTTTGGGGGAGAATGCAAATGAAGGGAAGTAACTAAGGGGAAATGGTCTTAGGAAAGCTCCAACTGCTGCTAGAGGTGGAATTCTTGTAAAATACTAGCACCACAGCTTCCCAGGAGTTAGGTGTTGGCTGCAGCACACTGCCTGCTTTTGAGTGGGATGTGAAACCAAAGGTGTGCCCTTGTGAATACTCTAGGGACTTGGCTAGCCTAACTCCTGAGCACAGAAAGGGTACAGAGATCTGAATGATGGCTAGTCTTGTAAAACTTGAAATGGAGTTTTAAAGATTCTGCAGTTTTATGTAAACAGTGTGCTAGGGAGTATGTGAGGAACTTGTGGGGGCCCACTTGCACACTGAACTGGTTATAGAATCTTTAACATAATGGGTCTCTCTTTTGGTTCCTAACCCCAGACGCCCAGAGAAAGCTGCTACTTCTCTGTGCTGTGGAAGGTCAACATGAGTTCATGTCTACAAATGGTGTGAGGTCCTGGCTAAACAAAAGAGCACAGTGTAGGCCTTGAGCTGGAAATGGGAGTAATTCAGTCTTGTGCAGAAATCTGGACTTAATGCCAAATGGCACCAGGAACTATTGGGCACCAGGACTGTTTTTTTGTTTTGGTTTGCATTTTTTTATCATGAAGCGAATAAGAAACTGAAAGATTTATTTTGATATCTGTAGCATTAGAAATAGTCTTTGTCAGAAATAATTCTTATTAATAAACTTGGTAAATACTGTAAATGCTTTGCTCTGTCTTAAGTTATCTAGTGTCACAGCTGGAGACTTGGTATGCAGTATTTCCATGATGATACTGTTGCTGTGAACTTGCCAGTCTACTCACAGCAGAAACACTACTGTGAAGGCCATTGCTTTTATGGGCCATTTCCAGATGAAAGGTACATCCTGAAATCAATTCAAGCATGGAGTTAGTCCATGGACTCAGTTACAGTTGGAGTTTTGGATTTTCATTATCATAAATGAAGAATGTATTTAATTTTTTCCTCTAAGGTCTGAAAGAATTTTTTTTTACAAAGATGCTATTTTTAAACATATGCTTAAGAAAGTGCTGGTTAGAAAATATCCATTGTTGGTTGGAGGGATTCAACTTCGGCAGTCATGGTACCCCATTTGGTGAATCACCTGTATTGGCCAGGCCTCAGGATGTACTGCTGTCTTAGAAGTGTGGCTGTTCATATAAAA